ACATATTTAATTATTTTTATTTTAACCTAATTCTAGCATCATTGTTGTAGACTCTTCTATAAACATATAGCTTTAACTCCAAGGATGATAGAAAAATAGAAGCTGCTTCAATTCAAGGTCATGATATAGCAGTTTTAGAGGGTGGAGTTTTGCATAAAGGGAGGAGGTCAGCCTTAGTATCATCTTTAGTCTGCATTCTGACTTGTGTAAACTGAATTTATTACACAATTATTTAACTTCTCTGGACTACATTTATTGAGTCCTCAAATGTGGTGATTCAGGTTATCTACCTGCCTTGCAGACTGTTACAAATTTTGAATGGTATAATGTGAGCATTCCCTACATAAATAGGTAGTGCTGTTATTGTCATTAGATTAACAACTTTTGCTAAAAGCAAAAGGCTACAGTCTAGAAAACAAATGATATCACACTGTAGATGTTTTAGGATTCATTAGGAAATAATGTGTTTCTTTGGGGATGTAAATATTTCACCCAGAGACAAATGGGTTTCATTTGGCTCTAAGTATTTATGATGTGTGTGCTTTAAAAATACCATTATTCTTGCACTTCACTGCAGATTAGCATTCTGTATTTCATTAAGGTCATCTCTTTGATATCACTGAGAAATGTGATTGTCACGTTACAGTGAAGTGTTATAACATTATCTAATATGATTTACCTAGGCAAGGACTCATTTTAACTTGATGATTTTTGAAAGGTTGATATTTTTCGACAGTGCCACTTAAGAAGATACTTTTAATAATAATAATAATAATAATAAAACAGTGACAGTAGCCTTTTGACTTGGCTGTCTTAACACTTCACTCGGTATACCTTCAGGTATTTTATTAAAAATGTTATTCAGTTAATTAGCTTGTACTGACATCTGCTGGTGAAATAGTAAATTTCATAAAAAACCATTTAACATAAATTTTGATAGAATCAAATAGTTGCATTTAGTCTTAGAGCATATTTGCATTCTGTATTCAAAAAATTAGTGGCTGTCCATGACTAATTGTGATTCATGATTCAACTTGTTCCAAGTGTTTTGCTAACTTATTGCAACCTTTTTGTACTCTTCACAAAGGCCAGGGGCAACAGAAGCTTGGTTAAGAAGTAAAATATGGTTGGGCTCTCCCTGGTAGTGCAATGAGTTAAGCATTATGAAGCTCTCCAAAGCCACTGCAGCATGAGTTCAATCCCCCACCAGGGAGCTGACCCACATGGTGTGGCAGACCTCTCCTGACCCACCCCCTGCACCCCTCAGCAGTGTACTTTGTCAATCTGCCTGTTTTGCTCCCTACTTTGTCTCTGGTGAATCCTCTCACCCACTATACCCTGTATCCCAGTTCTGTAAGCACAAATAAATAAATCTTAAAAAGATAAGGAAAAAAAAAGTAAAATATCTGTTACATCAAACCTCATCCAATCAGTGAATGATGACATCGTCATCTTCATCATTAAGTCTTTTGGCCTTAAAACAGTACAGTAGTGATGTTTATGAAGTCAGAATTCTCTTTGGGAAATCATTCCTATGAACATAGGTTTAGGGATCAAGAAAGGAAGGAAATTCTTACTGAGCTAAAATCTAGGGGATTATTTTTTCTTGTCTGGAAGTATAATATGGCTTCTTTGAAACCTACCAAGAACTGACTTAGGGTTGTAGAATTTTACAACTGGAAAGAAATTTATTAAATTTAAGAATTTAAATTTAGCAAAAGTTTTAAGAATGAATTTAAGAAATGTATTACATTTAATTATTTAAATCTAAGTATTCAGTTTGTCCTCTCTTTTGTAAATGCAGATTCTGAGACCCAGATAAATTTACATAACTTAAACTAGTTGATATGAGAAATGTGTTGTCTAATCCTTCCACTCCAAGCTGCTTTCTTAGATAAATTGCCTTCACTAGTTGTTTTATTTTGTTTAAACCAAAAATACCTGAACAGGCAGAAATAGATTATTTGAGAATTTAGAATTAGCTTATTGTAAATTAACCAAGTTGACTTTCTCTAGCTAGAGGGTTATTATTCAAATATACACTGTTTTCCAATATTGCACTTTAGTGCTTTAGAATATATATTTATTCAGAGGTCTTTCCTAGTATATGGATCAGAAAAAAGAGAAATAAATTGTAATGAGGGAAATTTTAGACTCTGATTAGATTTGAGGGCCACGGAATTAAGCACAAGATGTCTTATCAGTAATGTAACACTCACCCCCCCCCCGCTTAATTTTTTGTGTTGGTAGGCCTAGTTATATAGAATAAACGTAGAACAATGCAATTTGCATTGGTATGGTGTGTGCTATACAGATATTTTACCAGTCAAATTTTCTAGAAAGCATATTTCTCCTCACTCTCAGCACCATTGACATTTGGGGATCTTAAATCTTTGTAGTGGGACCTGCAACGTCCTTGATGTCTACTCACTAAATGCCAGAAAACCCCCTGGCATTGTAACAATAAAATGTCCCCAGAAGTTACCAACTGCCCCTGGGGGCTAGATCAGCCCAAATTAAGAACCACTGCTACAGGGCCCTCCCTGGTGGCTCAGCGGGTTAAAGCCCAACACTGAGAAGCTAAAGCCACTTCTGCAAGAGTTGATCCCCGCCTGTACTGAGAAGCTAAAGCCACTTCTGCAAGAGTTGATCCCCGCCTGTCCCTGAGCTGACCCACATGGTGAGATCTTTCCTGACCCGCCCACTGCTCCTCTCAGCAGTGTACTTCATCGATCGATCTGCCTGTTCTGCTCCCCACTCTGTGTGTGATGAATCCTCTCACCGCCCCTGCACCTCTGGCCTGTACCCCAGCTCTGTGTATGCACAAATAAATAAATCTTTAAAAAAAAAAAACAACAACACTGCTATGAATTAAAGCTACTTCCTTATTTTTAAAGCTACTTAAAGTATCCTGTTAACGAGTTTAATTCTTTTTCGTCACAAATTAAATATTGGCATGAATCAATATAGTCTCAAGTCATCACTAGTTTAGATAAACATTTAAATATTCCATTCTGAGCTAGAACTAGTGAAGCAGGTTCTTTCAATCTTTAGTACTTACCTATTTATTCTCACCTCCTTTCATGTTCTAACGTATAATTTCGACACAGCTCCAGGTTTCTTGTACTCTTGACCAAACTGCTTTTATCAATAATGAGTTTTTAAATTTTCTTTTGTTTTCTGATACTACTAAGTTTTTTCTACAAATTATTCCTTTTGAAACTAAATGTAACCAGTGGGATTTGGAGACAGTTCTTTTCATCCCCATTGTACAGATAAGGAAAGTGGAGCCAGGCTTTAATACATGCTTCCAACATAGCAGATGTTCTTTTCATCTTTAGTATACATATATGTATATATATACACACACATATATGTATATATATACACATATATGTATACTATACATACATATATATACTATATATAGAGTATACATATATACTATATATACATATATGTAGTATACATATATATACTATCTATCTATCTATTTATATATATATATATGCATACAGAACTGGGGTACAGGCCAGAGGCACAGGGTTGGTGAGAGAATTTACCAGAGACAGAGTGGGGAGCAGAACAGGCAGATTGACAAAGTACACTGCTGAGGGAAGGAGCAGGCAGGCCGAGAGATCTGTTGTGCCATGTGGCTCACACAGACAGCCCCAGGTAATGGACTTCATGCACTTGACCTTGAAAAAATCACTATAAATATGCTCAGAGACATCTGTTCAAAATAAAGACACTACCTAATTGTTGCTATAACAATAAATTATCAAAAAATGGTAATATAATTGATTATGTAAATTACAGTTGCTTCAACTAATAAAGTACAAAATAAATTTTATTTTAAAAAGATGCCTAAAAGAGTCTGCTAGAATCGACATAGAAACATTTAGCCATTTTTAAAGGGCCCTTCAGTTTCTTCTACATGCTGTTTTGAATATGTCAAAATTGCTAGAATGACTAAGTACTGGTTTAATAGCTAAAAAAGGGATATTTGAATAAATAAAACCATCATGGTTTTTGTCCATGGGGATGTAGAAACAATTTCTGAAGAGCTCAGGAATTTGGTTCCAGGAGCCTAATAATTTAAGAGGTGCATTGCAGACTTATTATCAATGACCCACCCCAACAGTTTGCATTTATTGATAATTTAAATGGGCAAAGTGGGCCTCCTTGGTAGTACACGGGGTTAGATCTGGGCACTGTCAAGCTCTGGTCATCCACTGTCGCACTGGTTCTATCCCCGGCCAGGGATTGACCCATATGGCGCAGACCTCTCCTGCCTCACCCGCTGCTCCGCACAGCAGTGCATCTCAGTAGATCTGCCTAGTTTGCTCCCCACTCTGCCTCTGGTGAATCCTCTCACCCCGGCACCTCTCGCCCCCTGCACCTCTGGCCTATACCCTAGTTCTTACATGCATAAATAAAAATAAATATTAAACAAATAAACTGAGAAAGGCTTTTTTTTGGGGGGGCTATATTTATACAAGCTATCTCCTTTATTCCTAGAACAACCCCCTAGGTAGATATATTATTTTGACAGATAAGGATACAGAAGCTTCTGTGGTTAGGAAGTATGAGTTCTAGTGAGGCTGAGCTGATACATGCTGTCTGCACACTTAACCCTGGAGCTCCCTTCTTCTCAGGTAGTTTTTAGCTTAAGCATCTTCTCTTTGGATCATTTGGAGCTAGAAAAGAGGTTTCAGGAGGGAAACTTTAGGAGAATTCTAGCATTAACTAAAACTTTAGTTTCATATTCCATTTGTCATGTCTAGAAAACATATGACTGATATATGACATACTTAAGATGACTTTACAAATGCAAGATGGGTAAGAAAATTTGGGAGTATTTTCCCATGGAAATGTAGCTACTGCTTCTACTTTATTCTGAGAATATAATGACATCTTTTGAAATCTATAAAAACACCAAGCACGCACACACACACACAAACCCCACTTGTTTAATTAACAGAGAATACCTGTATGGTCATTTTATTTTATTTATCTGCCAGTGAAATCCTAAGAGGCATAAAATCACTAAAGAGATTGGACAAAGCAGGTAATTGACACCATAGATCATTCTGTGGCTTCATGTTTTATTAGTTTTATCTGACAGCATAAAGACATACATACATATCAAGGTAAAGAAAGAACATGTAAGGATCTAATTGCAGGGCCTCACTGGTGGAACATGAGATGATCAGTTTAATGTTTTTACAACTTTGCAATTTTGAAAATATAATTGCATTATGGGAAGAGCAGGAGGAAAAGGGGAAGAAGACAGAGGCCTAATCTTCACCACCAGCAAGAGCAGACAGTTTGTGGACACTGATGCTAATTCACAAAACTGCAAGTTAAATCCTAGGTGCAGAACTATTTCTTCTGCCATTCCTCTCTTTGAATTTTTCTGTATTCATGTATTCAAAATTCATCATGAAGAATAGTGTCTTAGATTTTTGAAAAAAGTTTTGAACACAAGAGATTGACTTTGTGTGATACAGACAACACGTTAGTAACTGTGAGATAACCTATGTTCTAACAATACAGATCTTCTATATTAAGAATTTTAAGTTCTGCCAGTTTCTACTTAATCATTCTTTCAGAGTTCCTTTATTCATTTCTTAAAACAATATATACTTTATGTAAAATATAAGAATGAACGTACTATCGCAGGTCAGTTTTTACTGACACCAACTAGTAATATATTTACTGCTTGCTGCACGTAAGTTCAGGTAAGAAACAGGCGGCACTTTTTTTCTGATCCATGCAGTAAATGTTCACAAAATTCAAGCAAACAACTAGGTTCCTGTTGGCTGAAATTAATCCTCTTGGCCACGACAGAAGGATCAACAAAATTAAAAACACTCATGGTTTCATCAAGACTGTGCCAAGCTAAATTAGTCCTGGAAAGGGTTTGGCTAGAAAGACCACGGAAAGAATTGGCAGCCACGAATTTTTCACGTGTTCTTCTATGCAGTTGAGACTATTTCCTCCTCACGTAGCTTTTCTGGACAACATAGGCTTTTGCTACAGAGGCATTTCAAGTTTCAAGTAAAATCATCCTTTCGTGAGAAAGCTGAGAAATGCTTCTCTAGTGCTTGTGATCCTGGAAACAGTTTACTATATGTCCTTAAGGCAAATGCCAAGAGTCAAAGAAATTGCAGAACAGTCTCAGAATGTAAACAATAAAATCGCTGATCAAGGAGTTATATCCGTGGGTGAAAATTCCCCACAATATCAGTTTCTTGATTTTGGAAGTTTATGAGAATTTTATATCCTAAAAGTGCTATGCGTATTTTTTTCATTGCAGAGTCTTCTGAAGAGGAAAAAAGTTCATGATGGGGCTTCAAAAATCAAAACAAAACAAAAAAACATTGCATGGAGAGATACTCAGAGACTAAGCAGTGTTGAGGTTTGTTTTTGTTTGCTTATTTTACTTTCACATTTTGCTTTTGTGGTTGGCATACGGAAAACCGAACTGGGAAATCATAATGTTGGAGTATTTTAAAGGCATGCTGTCATAAATATTAACAAGCTTGTTTATACAGTAAGACCTCTGAAGAAAGTGCTCGGCTCGGTGCCACATTCCTGAATAGCCACCATTGGTTTCTTTTTCTAAATTACCCATATTTACAGGTTTCACAAATATCCCAGAAGTCTTCCCAAGGTGCTTGGCGACGAGAAAATTCATGGCGATGTCATCACAGTTTTGCGTTTCATCGATCAAAGCGTGGACGGAGGCAGGTTGCTTCTGAAACAGTTCAAGGTATTTGCTGTTGAAGAAGGAAGCGCCGATCAGCACCATAGAGTAGTGATCACCATTTCCAAACTCTGGTGTTTGCAGTTCAAATCCTCCATAGCTGTAGATGCCAGAGGAAGTAGAGACATGCTTTCTAGGAACAAATCCTACAATTTGATCAGGAAATTGCTGAAGAGATGGAAAAAGAACCATTAACTGTGACATTTCTTTAGAGTAGGCATATTGAAAAGGGCAGTGACTTCTTAGAATTTAATTGAATTGTCAACTTTATTTCTGGTTTTTACATCTCAGTTTCCTCTAACTCCAGGCAACTTTGTAATAATTAAGTTGCCCTGATATTCTTATAGGACAAATTCCAGCACAATCCAAATTTCTATGAAAACAAAACTTCTAACCTCAGAAATATTCTTCTCAATCAAATATTACCTGACATTGATAAATTCCAGTCACTAGAGTCCAGTTTCTCCCACTTTGCTGCAAGTGAAGTTGAGTATACTAATTTTACTTATAGTGGAGGATTAGAAAATCTGATGGGATTATTTTGAAAAAAAATTAATATTTTACTTATCTAACTAAAGTTATTGTGTATGGGGTCGGGTGGGGTCTCAATCCAAGAGGGTGAAAGAAATTTCACAGATGGCCAGTGGAAGAAAAGGGAGGTAGCAGGTAAAAACAGACACAAATATCTCTCTTGTCCTGCTGGCTGGTGACCCCAAATCATTCTACTATGTAGGGCACTGGCTTGGGGGGAGGGCTGAAGATAAGGGTCACCTCTTGGGCAATGAATTGAAATTGTTCTTGCTGTTTGATATATACTTATATCTATATTTATAGATATAGATATCTATATATCTATATATCTATTCTAGAATCATGCTTACCTGCCTTTAGTTGTGACTCACTTGGATTGTTCCATTAATCATAGTTTCTGTATTGCCTATACCCCTGGCATATTAGGCAAAGTGATTTTTTTGACCTGTACTAGAAATCTCATGGGTAGAGTATTGAACTTTTGCCTAAGACTTAGCTTTTAATTTTCAGTACTGGAAAAATTGCTGGTAAGGGGGAAAAATGCTAATTAGTACACTAGGCATGAAGTAACAACTGACATTTTTTGAATGCTGACATCTGGAGAGTCCTGTGAGCACTTAGCATTAATATCTAACAGTGTTATATCCGAAGTAGTTAATTAAGGAGACACTCCAGTGCTAATTAAACCATTTAATTGATAGCATAGAGTTTAATTGACGGGTTCACAGTACCTGTATGTAGCTCTGGTTTCTAGTAATTGTAGTGCAACTTATAAAAATGTGTTATTGCTAACACATTAAATAAGGGTGTTTTTACAGATTAGTAAGAAATTTATGCCTGCTTATTCCACTTATGATTTGGGGGTTTGGGGCAAGAACCAGCTGTGATCACAAAGATATATACAGAATCATTATTATTCATTTCTAAATGGTGACTTCAGATTCAGGATTAAATTTTGTAGATTTAATTGGTGCTTTAGTTTAAGGAAAGCTATCTACAAGTAACATAGAAACACATTTCTCTTTTGAGACATAAGTCTAGAAAATATTTCTGAACCTTAGTCCAGATTATTTTCTCAATATTCTTTGGGAAGTAGCTCCAGTTCTCCCCATATTTATATCAAATATAGAAAAAAAGATACCATAATTTACAGGTTGGTTTTACTGAGTACAGGAAATCTTTATTATCATGTAACAAATTTATCTTTCCATAACGACTGTTTAAACGCTTCTGAATTACCCCGGTTAAGTCATAGACAAGACTTGATACTGAAGAGTTCATAAAGGACATAGAAATATTACCTGCCAAACTGAGAAAGCAAAATCAAGGTCTTGGGCACTAATAAGTGTGTCATCATCTACCATTAACACTGCTGAAAAGAAAGGAAAAAAAATTAAATAGAACAATTTGGAAATGGAAACAAAATTAGTAAGGCACAATGGTGTCTATAGATTATTCAATGAGACACTTCATGACAAAATAGTAAATAAGCAATGTATTGTTGGACAAGAAAGTTTTATGGCAACTACTTTTACAACTGCGGGGGGTGGGGAATTATCATATAGTTATCAGCTATTATCCTGGAAACTAATGAATCTTTAAAGATATCATACTGAGGTTCTTTTAAGCAAATTAAAAGCTCATGCACCCACTGTGAATGGGTGAAAAAAAGGAGGTAGGAAAAATACATAAAGCATAAGCCAAATGGCATTTTACTACCTCTGTGATGCCTATCTTCTTTTAACATGGAAACTTTTTGTCATTGTTGCAGTAGGTATGTTACTTCTTCCCCAGAAAACTGTTTCTTGAAATTACCTTTTGTTTTCCTGAGTGCTTTCTTATGATTAAATTTCAGTATTTTCTCTGATTTAGCCAATTGGAAGGCCAAATTGCCCTCCCCCCACAGCCCACCCTTCCCCCTCCCTGCCCCCCTCCTCAAGCTCTTGTTAGTTACTGCCCTATGACCCAACTATAGATTACCATTGGTTTCCAGTTCTGGAAAAACCTGGAGTCGATTTCTCATCCTGTTTGTTGTCTGTACTTTGAAGATTACAGGGATGGGGTGAGGACCTAGCGAATTCCATAATTCATCTGGTCCCTTCTCCCCAATATTGTTCCATACCACAATCACTTTGTGCAAATGTGGTACTGCCTGGTAATGATTTAAAAGTCTCAATAAGAGATCTGTTCTGTTGTAAGTCTGCATGATGAGAGTAAAGGAATCCAGGGTGGGCTTGCCCTGGGATTTTATTTCTCTACGTAAAGTGAGCATCTTGTCTTCTTTGATAGTAGGAAGCAAAGTGGTCAAAGCCCCAGCTACCAGTAATAACACCAGGATGACCACCAAAGAGAGACGAAGCACTCGAATCCCCATCACTCTTCCTGGAAGTTTGCAGATATGGCAACACCTGGAGTACAAGTAGAAATAAAATACAGAATAGGAGCACTGTTAGCAGTCACCATGGGTTAGCTTTTGGTTTTTAATTTTTTAAATTATTTTTTAAAGAATTATTTATTTTATTTAAGCATACAAGACCTGGGGTACAGGCTAAAGGTGGTGGTGGTGGGGATAAGAGGATTCACTGGGCACAGAGTATGGAACAGAACAGGCAGATTGATCAAAAATACACTGCTGAGGGGATGAGAGGAGAGGTCTGCCGTACCATGTGGGTCATCACCAGGGCAGGGGATCAAACTTGTGCTGCAGATAGCTTCATAGTGCTGTGCTTTAACCCCTGAGACATCAGGGAGGGCCCAGCCTTTTTTTTTTTTAAATATTTGTTTATGCATACAGAACTGGGTACAGGCCAGAGGTGCAGGGACAGTGAGAGGATTCACCACACACAGAGTGGGGAGCAGAACAGGCAGATCGATGAAGTACGCTGCTGAGGGGAGCAGTGGGTGAGTCAGGAGACGTCTGCCACGCCATGTGGATCTCCTCCAGGGCTGGCAGGAATCAAACTCATGCTGAAGTGGCTTTAGCTTCTTACTGCTGTGCTTTACCCAGCTGAACCACCAGGGAGGGCCCAGCTTTTGTATTTTTAATAAGAAAAGAGGTTAATCTTATTTTAGCTGATTCCAATTCAGCTCTCCCTTCTTTCATATGGGGATTTGACCTAAGATAAAAAGTCCAGTGAACAAGCTTTCCCTTCTAAGCCTGCTTGCTTTACCACTGCAGACAAAAGACCTCCAGCATAGAAATAGAAAAAATTAAGCAGTTCATTTTAATATTTGCCATTACTTTACAACTAAAAATTTGGAACTGAGATTATTTCTTCAAATGGGATCCTAGTACCCTTGGTAATATACTCATTTTTTAAAGTTTAATTGAGTTATCATAGATATATGAAAATTGTACAACTTGATGTCTTGGTGTCAGTTTTATTCCAGCATACTAACTTTAGTATGCTGCCATAGCAGACTTTTTCCAAATGAAATCACATGCAAACCCCTAACATGAAATAAAGTATAATAGTAGCAGTAACTGCAAGCAAGTACCTTGAGTGTATTACTTTTAGAGCCCTGTACTTTATGTTTTGCAAGTTATAGTAAGTAATTATTTATTTAGTAAACTGAACAAAAAGGTACCAAGCATTTTTTTGTGCAAGGCATTTTGTAGGTTCTAGAACTACAGCAATACAAAAGACAAGGTCTCTGTAAATAGCAGAGGAGAGTGGAGAGACATAGATAATAATAAATACAGTTAGATAATTCAGGATAGTCTGAATGAAGAGAATAAGTGAGAATGACATGATAAGCAAGAGCCAGATTAAGGAAGAGCCTGTTAGCCTGACTGAAATGAAAGGATTTTATTCTGACATGGGACATCACAGCTGGGCTTGGCTCAGAGGCGTCTTTACTACTGTTATTCCCTTTTAATAGTTCAGATGCTTACAGAGGTTAAGCAACTCGCTCAGGATTACTAAGAAACTTATATTGTGGATTTAAGATTTACATCCAGGTAAATTTGCTGCCAAGAGCCCAGCGTGTCATCATCCTGTGCTTGGGAGTCAGATCCAGGTTGAGCTGGGATAGGGTGAGCTCTAGAATTCCTGAAGCACCCTCTCCCGCTCTGTGCACAAGGTGTAATGGCCAGCTTCACACTCCCCTATTCACCCAACCCAAAGGAGCCGCCACAGATGGCTACAGCATAGTAGGTCAACAAATAATTTCTGAGTGCATTCTTTAGAGTTCCTGGTCAAAATATGTGTTTAATCAAACTAAATCATATGTGTAAGGCACATATGGTATGTTAAATCTCAGATTTATAGAGACCTGCAGCTGCGATTTGCTGACCTCCAACATTCATTTCATGATCACTTCTGCTGCTTCTTTCTAAGTCACTGTCTGCTTTCAACTGCCTCCAGTTTTATGTATGTGCATGTGTGTGTGTGTGTGTTTAATTCTGCTATTGCTTTTTTTAACTCCAGACTTTACTTGTTCCTCTACAAACCTCCACCAGCTTTTTAGGTATGTGTATTTTGTATTTTGTATTTTGCAACTGAGCACTCCTGTTCATGTAAATCTCAGCATATATCCTAGATCTATTCTACTCCTCTTTTCAATAACAAAAGCCAGAATGAGGAAAAAGAACGTTCAAAGAAACTTCGGAAAAGACTTAGAGATCAACCACGGGTTTTAAATAATATTTTTAGGATATCATTCAGGAAAAAAATAGATCTCTTAGAACCAGAAAGAGTGAGATATTATTTTTGATGAGTTTAAAGGATCCTTAGTCTATCTTTTACTTGCTTGATACAATTTCTCTTAAACTATACAATAAGCATATCCTCACCTATTTCTAAATAAAGGCAAATAGGATAAAGCTGGAAGACTTCTCACTGCTCACAGCTGTGCCATGCTTACTGTACAGAGCAACCGTTACTGTGCTTCTTTATATAACACTGTCTCTGTACAAGTTTATTTTTGGTTCTCTCCCTCTTCTGGATGTGCAATGTATGTGCCTATCTAAGCTCTTGATTTCGCACCTCGTCGATGATGTCTGGCTTTGCCAGCTAGGCCACCTAAAGCTGTAGTTAAATCTGCCTGTCGAACAGATTCAGTTCTCAGTGAAATCATGCTCTGCTTTCCAAAAGATGTACAGTCAACCTTTGTTTCTCATCGAGACTTGGCAACGGTCAGGTTAAAGTGACAATCACATTTCTGTGATCTTGTTTCATGTTTTGAGATGTGTATGTCATGGCAGAACCAGCTTCTCTGTCTATAAATCAGCAAAGAATAGGGAGGCTATCCAGACCGTGGCTTTAAGATCTTCTTTTGAGGTTTGTGAGAATGGGAACTGTGAGGGGTAGAGGAAGCTACTCCATGACATGTGGGCAGTGGGGCTTATACGAGCAAAGGAAGAAAGTTTATTCATAAGGACAAAGGCATAGTGAGTGTCATTCAGCAGCTCTTCATTTCAATAGCCCAGATCTGAAAAGCAAGGTTAGCTTGTGGTCACCTTTTCGGAGAGCTCGCAAGGATATTCTCTCCTAGACTTTGTCTGCAGCCAGTCTGTTAAGCAAAGCAATTTTGTACTTCCCCTTTTGTCATGGTCTTACTCTAAGACATGAATAAAATGAATTATTTTTGAAGTTACCTCAGCTTTACCATGATTACTTTTCAAGGACAGGAATTTAAGGGTTTAGAGTAACATGTTGTCATTGCAACCTCTCTACTTTAATGCCACCTGCTGTTGTTAATGCAGTCAATCAAAAATGAGCCACTATACACTAAGGATACTGGTTCAAAGGCCTTGAAAATCCTTCTAATGTTGAATAAGAAACAGGTCTTGTGAAATATATTTTCAGTTCTGCATAAAAATGGTTATTAATATAAGCACCTAGAGTGAAGAATCATCTGACAATTGCATTGAAGTATACCCTGATTAAAGTCTTTGTTCATTTTGTGTAGCTGAGTACAAATAGCATCTTGTAAAATGAAGAGGCTTTCTAGTCTCTAAAGCAGACATTGATAACATATTATCTGGCATTTTTAGTCTAGAAACGTAATTAAAATTTACTACTACAGCCTAAAATAAATATGCTTTGTCAAAGACACTTACAAATGACTGTTTCACTTTTCTCTATGCTTTTACATAGGGGTTATTTCCAGATCCATCACAGAAATTTTCTCCTTCAGATAGCTTCTAGTCCCTTATTATACTGTTATCAAAAATGTTCTGGGTGATATGAATAATTTATGTCTTTAGAAATACAATGTAAATATTTCATGTGGTATTTATTAAATAATGCAACCCAATACAACTATGTAAAATTTTCAGTCTGTATGGAAAAGCAAGAACAAGAACTTTATACGCTGCTGCAGATGACACCTCTGTACTTTGAGAGCCACTGAGGTCTCTAACTCACTGGTGAGCCCATTAGAACAGCCTGGAGAGTTATGATGGCTTAATTATCATCTACTTGCCTATTTAGATTTCAGTTTATAACTTTCTTTTGTTCCTTCTAGAGAAAAATCTATCATCTAATTCACAACTTTGACTGTGAATGGGTAATATGAGGAAGATAACTTACATCTTACTTGGAAACAACCAATGGATAAATATATTGTTTTCTTGTGCTTAATTCCTAGAATATCCTTCCTAGTTCTGTTTTTCCCTTATTTCTTTTCAAAGTCATGTCTACATATATTTATAGGCACCTGTCACTTTCGATTACCTTCCTGCCTTTCTCCTCTTTGAGACTATTACCATCTGTGACTTTGATAAACAGTCAATGTCAGCAAAAGAATATACAAATTCTGCTTCTTCTCTAGTTACCTGGAAAAACCAAAGATACCCAAATGAAACTTTTTATTAACAATAGTCTTTCACGGGTAGAGAACACATCTTTCTAGCTATTTTGCTACTGCTATACTAGCATTTCTGCAGCAGAAGATTTCAACAGAGGATGATTTTACTCTCCATGGGTCACTAGAGAAGTCTGAAGATACTTTTGTCAGGGCTGGAAATGAAATGCTGTTGCCAGTCTAGTGGGTCAAGCTCTGGATTACTGCTAAATAGAAAACAAAGACAATGACCAGAATAGTGTGGGCATAACAAAGAATTATCTAGACTAATAAGCCAATGATGCTGATGTCGATTTACCCTTTTCTATGTACAGTAGCCTAGTAAGACATACTTGCCATGATGGGGAGGAAGCTAACCAGATGGCCTCTGAAAATCCTACTGCAAGTTTTAGAGGCATACCTCTAAAACTGTGGGTTCCTATGTGCTGGCGACTAGCTGGCCACTCATGGGCAGCTGTGACCTATTTGCTATCTATATATCACAGCAGAACATTCCTTGACTAGCTGTGGAATATAGCTCATATCACAAGGCAGGCCCAGAGATGCCCAGGCAGCTGTTGGCTTCATTATGTGATTATCTCCATGGTGGTCTCGGGAT